ATTTTCCCAAATTCCCTGTTTTTTTCCCCAGATTCCTGCGGCTGTGGATCTCGGTGCTGGTGATTTACCCCACCAACCAGGCCGTCATCGCCCTCACCTTCGCCAACTACGTCCTGCAGCCCCTCTACCCCACCTGCCACACCCCCGAGGCCGCCCAGAGGATCCTGGCCGCCGCCTGCCTGCGTGAGTTATCCGGGAATTCCCGGAATTCCCGAAAAAAACACGGAATTCCCCAAAAAATTTGGCTCCGAAAGGACCAAAAATGGCAAAAAAATGGACAAAAACGGACCAAAAATGACCCAAAACGGACCCAAAACTGACCCCAAATCTCGCCTGGGACTCACCTGGGGTCCTCATGTCTGGGATTGATCCCGGAATTCCCAGAATTCCCGAAAAAATCCCAGAATTCCCGAAAAAATTGACTCCGAAAGGGCCAAAAACGGCCAAAAACGGCCCTAAAATGACCCAAAATGGACCCAAAATGGACCCAAAATGGACCCAAAACTGACCTCAGACTCACCTGGGGTTCCTGCCTGTGTGGGTTATCCCAGAATTCCCAGAATTCCCAAAAAAAACCCGGAATTCCTGAAAAAATCCCGTCACGAAAGGCCCATTTTTTTAAATTTTTCCCATTTTTTTCCCATTTTTTCCCAAAATCGCTGTTTTTTCCCCCATTTTAGTGCTGCTGACGTGGGTGAACTGCCCCAGCCTCCCTTTTTATCCCCCTTTTCCCCCCATTTCTCCCATTTTTTTACATTTTTTTGCATTTTTTCCCATTTTTTTCCAAAATTTCACATTTTTCCCATTTTTTCCCAAAATCGCTGTTTTTCTCCCCATTTCCAGTGCTGCTGACGTGGGTGAACTGCCACAGTGTCCCTATCCCCCCCATTTCTCCCATATTTACCCCATTTTCCCCCATTTTTTTGCATTTTTTTGCATTTTTTCCCATTTTCTTCAAAATTTCACATTTTTTCCCATTTTTTCCCAAAATCGCTGTTTTTTCCCCCATTTTTAGTGCTGCTGACGTGGGTGAACTGCCCCAGCCTCCCTTTTTATCCCCCTTTTCCCCCCATTTCTCCCATTTTCCCCCATTTTTTTGCATTTTTTCGCATTTTTTTTCAAAATTTCACATTTTTTTCGCGTTTTTTCCCAAAATCGCTGTTTTTCCCCCATTTTAGTGCTGCTGACGTGGGTGAACTGCCCCAGCCTCCCTTTTCCCTCCATTTCTCTCATTTTCCCCCATTTTTTTGCATTTTTTTGCATTTTTCCCCATTTTTTTCAAAATTTCACATTTTTCCCATTTTT